CTCAGGAGAGGAAGGCAGCAACTCGCTCACACTGTTTACAGTGGGGATGGGGAGCTGCTGACGTCAACTGAGGCTATAGTCGGACGGTGGAAGGAATACTTTGAGGAGCTCCTCAATCCCACCAATGCGCATTCCGAGGAGGAACCAGAGCTGGGAGGCCTAGGGATGGACTGTCCGATCTCGGGGGCAGAAGTTGCTGAGGTAGTCAAACAACTACACAGCGGCGGAGCCCCGGGGGCGGATGAGGTTCGTCCTGGGTATCTCAAGGCTATGGATGTTGTAGGGCTGTCATGGTTGACACGTCTCTACAACATTGCGTGGTCATCGGGGGCAGTTCCTAGGGAGTGGCAGACCGGGGTGGTGGTCCCCATCTTTAAGAAGGGTGACCTGAGGGTGTGTTCCAACTATAGGGGGATCACACTCCTCAGCCTCCCTGGAAAGGTCTACTCCAAGGTACTGGAGAGGAGGGTCCGATCGATAGTTGAATCTCAGATAGAGGAGGAGCAATGTGGTTTTCGTCCTGGCCGTGGAACTGTGGACCAGCTCTATACCCTTGCAAGGGTGATGGAGGGGGCATGGGAGTTTGCCCAACCAATCCACATGTGCTTTGTGGATTTGGAGAAGGCTTATGACCGTGTCCCCAGGGGCACCCTGTGGGGGACGCTCCAGGAGTATGGGGTGGGTGGCTTTCTGTTAAGGGCCATTCAGTCCCTTTACCAGAGGAGCGTGAGTTTGGTCCGCATAGCTGGTAGTAAGTCGGACCTGTTCCCAGTGAGGGTTGGACTCCGCCAGGGCTGCCCTTTGTCACCGGTTCTGTTCATCACTTTTATGGACAGAATTTCTAGACGCAGCCGTGGTGTGGAGTGTGTCGAGTTTGGTGGCAGGAGAATCTCGTCTCTGCTTTTTGCGGATGATGTGGTTCTCCTAGCTTCATCCAGCTCTGACCTTCAGCTCTTGCTGGGTAGGTTCGCGGCCGAATGTGAAGCGGCTGGGATGAGGATCAGCACCTCCAAATCTGAGACCATGGTTCTCGACCGGAAAAGGGTGGCTTGCCACCTCCGGGTCGGGGGAGAGGTCCTACCTCAAGTGGAGGAGTTTAAGTATCTCGGGGTCTTGTTCACGAGTGAGGGTAGGAGGGATCGGGAGATCGACAGGCGGATTGGTTCGGCGTCTGCAGTGATGCGGACGCTGAGCCGATCTGTCGTGGGGAAGAGGGAGCTGAGCCAGAAAGCCAGGCTCTCGATTTACCGGTCGATCTACGTCCCAATCCTCACCTATGGGCATGAGCTTTGGGTAATGACCGAAAGAACGAGATCGCGGATACAAGCGGCCGAAATGAGTTTCCTCCGTAGGGTGGCCGGGCTCAGCCTTAGAGATAGGGTGAGGAGCTCGGACATTCGGGAGGGACTCGGAGTAGAACCGCTGCTCCTCCGGATCGAAAGGAGCCAGTTGAGGTGGTTTGGGCATCTGGTCAGGATGCCTCCTGGACGCCTCCCCGGGGAGGTGTTTCGGGCATGTCCTGCCGGCAGAAGGCCCCCGGGTCGACCCAGGACACGTTGGAGAGGTTACATCTCCAATCTGGTCCGGGAACGCCTTGGGGTCCTGCCGGAGGAGCTGGTGGACAAGGCCGGGGAGAGGACGGCCTGGAGCTCCCTAATTGGGATGCTGCCCCCGCGACCCGGACCCGGATAAGCGGAGGAAGACGACGACGACGACGACGATGTTTAGCTTGTATAAATCAGGAGGATGGTAGATCTAGACTTTATGTTTTACACTCTGGCATGTTTACAACCACTATGTATTTGTTCATTATTGTGCATTATGTAAGTGAAAATAGGCAGTTAGTAAGTAACACTGACACTTTCTGTCACGTTGAAAGGATGGTTTGGACCCAAAATGCAGAACCCAGGATGACACGAGGCAGGAGTTGAAATAAAGAAATCCTTTTACTGTAGGATGAGTTAAAAATAAAGAATAAATCCAAAGGCTGGGAACCAAAATCCAAAAATACCAGAGGAACATGCAGAACTGACAAGCTAAACCACACTGAGGAACAACCCTGACAGCAACAATGAACCGACAAACACAGAGTGACAAGACAAGGCTTATAAACAGGAGGGAGGTAATCAGGGAAACAGGTGACAGGTGTGAGGAGTGTGAGCTGAGGAGAAACTGGTTTAATCAATTAACAAAATGGGAAGGGAAGGAGCTTGACCAGAGGGCAGATAAACATTAACCTATAAACACAAAACTAAACCTAAGACTGAGGGAAGGACTAACACAAACACACACGCATACTGACACACACAAACTCACACACACACACACACACACACACACAAATATATTAAGCTGGGGAGAAAGAAGCTGGGGACGACAAGGACACAGAATGTAAATGAGACCTGGAGGGGCTGGGGATGAATGAGATGACGCAGGACCTGGGAGGAATTGACTTAAAGGACTACCAACATAAGACACAAAATGGACGCAGACAAAAGACACATGAGGGCACTCTGAGACACAAAAGGGAAATCTAAAGAGGGATGGAGGACATAAGGAGACACATGGGGAAGACAGACGCAGACCATGACACTTTCTCTTTTTAAATGAATAATTATATTTGAATCAAAATCTTATCTCCGGGTCATCAATATTGAATTTTGGACAGATGATAGATAGATAGATAGATAGATAGATAGATAGATAGATAGATAGATAGATAGATAGATAGATAGATAGATAGATAGATAGATAGATAGATAGATAGATAGATAGATAGATAGATAGATAGATAGATAGATAGATAGATAGATAGATAGATAGATGATAGATAGATAGATAGATAGATAGATAGATAGATAGATAGATAGATAGATAGATAGATAGATAGATAGATAGATAGATAGATAGATAGATAGATAGATGATAGATAGATAGATAGATAGATAGATAGATAGATAGATAGATAGATAGATAGATAGATAGATAGATAGATAGATAGATAGATAGATAGATAGATAGATAGATAGATAGATAGATAGATAGATGATAGATAGATAGATAGATAGATAGATAGATAGATAGATAGATAGATAGATAGATAGATAGATAGATAGATAGATGATAGATAGATAGATAGATGATAGATAGATAGATAGATAGATAGATAGATAGATAGATAGATAGATAGATAGATAGATAGATAGATAGATAGATAGATAGATGATAGATAGATAGATAGATAGATAGATAGATAGATAGATAGATAGATAGATAGATAGATAGATAGATAGATAGATAGATAGATAGATAGATAGATAGATAGATAGATAGATAGATAGATGATAGATAGATAGATAGATAGATAGATAGATAGATAGATAGATAGATAGATAGATAGATAGATAGATAGATAGATAGATAGATAGATAGATAGATAGATAGATAGATAGATAGATAGAGATAGATAGATAGATAGATAGATAGATAGATAGATAGATAGATAGATAGATAGATAGATAGATAGATGATAGATAGATAGATAGATAGATAGATAGATAGATAGATAGATAGATAGATAGATAGATAGATAGATAGATAGATAGATAGATAGATAGATAGATGATAGATAGATAGATAGATAGATAGATAGATAGATAGATGATAGATAGATAGATAGATAGATAGATAGATAGATAGATAGATAGATAGATAGATAGATAGATAGATAGATAGATAGATAGATAGATAGATAGATAGATAGATAGATGATAGATAGATGCAGCTCTGAATCCAATTCCAAGACAGTTTGTCCAGGTCACACTCTCCTGTATCTAATGAAAACAATCATTCCCACACAATAAAGCCCAATGACACAAACAACTCCTCAGGAGGTATAGTGAGGAGGGATATTCATAGATAGTTTAAGCTTGTTAAGCAACAATAGACCGTTTATAAGCTTGACTCTCATATTCCAGTCAGAAATGACAAAGCTCTTTGGATGAAAAGCTAAACGTCTTCAAGAAACCAAAGAAGTCCAGTTGCCTCCATTTGAATCCCTTTGGATTACCATGACTTGGATGACTGAGAACTTCCACGTGCATTTTACAAATCATTAAATGCCATATCTGTGTTGCTCTATGATTAAAGAGGTGTGGTTCTGGGGAAATCCCAGTTGTTCTTGGCTGCATGGTGTGTGGGGTGGGGGGTGGGGTGTTACAGCAGATGGACAATTCTAGGGGCATGTGTATGGGGTGTTGAGACCCAAATCAAAGGAACAATGGGACAGCTGGGAGAAGCTCCAACTGCTGTTCAGAAAGTGAGACAACAGATGAGCTGTAGGTGGGGAGAATCAGAGCATAGTTCACAACCCAACATGTATGTGCAGATTAGGGTTTGCCAACAAAATAATAATTATGAACGTAGATGTATTTTACATGTGCTGAATACGCTTATTTAAATTGTTTTCTTCAGTTTTTTGTTTGAATGAAACTAGTAAACAAATAAAAGCTGCACTTATTTATTTCCTCTGTAGAAAATAATTACATTAAAATTGTCGGATACAATTTTAAATTGGACCATCATGACAAAAATAAACTTTTGAAGCACATTTTAAGGTGGTACTGCGGAGCATTCTTTGACTGTGTTTGTTAGTGAAGTATAATGTTGAGATTCATATTAACAGCATTGATTGGAAGCCCACTGATTGACTGAACTTTCTCCCATTCCTTTTTGGATATGTAGATTCATAATTTATTTTGAAGTTTATATGTCTTTTTTTTCTATTTGCACAATTTAAATATTATGCTTTTTCTTTCCTTTTTACACGTTTGAAATAAACTAAAATAATCAAGTTTGTTTTCACTATGTTTGTTTATATATATTATAGGTATATAACCAAAGAAACACAACAGCCATGATAAAAGCAAAATTAAATTAAATTAAAATTGATAAATAAATACATTTTAAATAAACTGAAGGTGGGCGGAGCTTCACCTACTCTCGCTCTCTGCGTCTGTTGTTGTTCAGCCCGACTGGAAGCTAACATCCAGCGGGAGCCGAGAAGATGCGGCGGAGGGACTGATCCGCAGAGCTCGGCTCGCTCTGTCAAATTTGTTCTCAGCTCTGTTGTTTACTTGTGTTTAAACCCGAATCAGTCATTTCAGGTTATGCTTTTACGTTCTGGCGGAGGACGGGCTGGACGGCCATGTAGCTCCGTTAGCATGTTTCGGCTAATCTCCCAGTTTCTTTAACGTCAGACTCGTTAGCCGGAGTCTCCGACTGTTTTGTTAGCCTTTGGTAGTTTTTATTTTTTTCTCTGTCCAAGTATTTTGGGGTGTTGTAATATATTATCTTTGCGTAACTAGATGACAACATTTCATCGCAATATGTACCGCCGTGTTGTAACAGCGGCGCTTGTTCCTGGGGCGAAACCTTGGATGACGTTGTTTTTTTTTTTTTGCTAACAGCTAATAAGATAACGCTAGCTGTTAGCTGCAGCTAACCGGGCTCTAGATGCCTTTGTTTCCAGCAGCAATCAGTTTATGATGTGAGCGCAGATTAGCTCCGCCCGTTAGCACAGTTAGCTGGTTTTAGAGTAAAGTAGCAGATGCTAAGTTGACAGATAAACCAGAATCTCGGATCAGTTTTTGTTGTGGTCAGCTGGCATGGAGCGCTCGGTTCAGTGACCTTGGACTCATCTTCTACATCATATTCATTAGAATAAGCCCCGCAGCTGGTGAAGACATCAGGGTTATTATGGACCTCAGATCAGACTGCAGGCAGAGTGTCGTTTACCTTCTCATCCTGACAGGTAAGTCTACTGATCTGAGTCATCAGCAGCTTTAAAGACTGAATTTTGAACAAGATTTCAGTTTATTGTATTGTATTCATTGACAGCTTTTACACGTTTGTCACTTTTTATTGTGAAATTAGTAAGCTGGTCAGTTAATTTCTTAGAAAGACTGCTTAATTGAGATGAGCAGCTTTAAAGGGATTTATCCAAGCCTTTTCTGATTTCTCCTTCAGCAAATGATCCATGATCGGGCTGTTGTTTGCTAAATGAAAAGCAATAATATTATCCTATAATCCTCTTCAGCACAAAGTGATGCACTGTAGGCGTGCAGTCAGATTATCAACATATTGAAAAACAAGTTAGCATTAAAGTTGATCCGGAAAACTGATTCAAAACAAACATCTCAGCCTGGTGATAGCTCTGTTATGATAATGTTAGATATAACATTTAAAGATGAGTAAATATAGCATGGCATTTATGACTTTTCTCTTATAGTTGGTGTTTTTTAATTATACTGTAGTGAAATAAAAAATGTACAACCTTTTATTTTTATTTTTAACTGTTCAAACAGCCCCTTTGTGTCACCTTATAGTCCAGCTGAGCTCCATGTGAAAAAACTGCATTCCCGATTATCCGGTTTAAAAATAGCCGGATTAAATTTCCATCACTATGCATATGGACAAAACAGTTGCCGTTTAGTCAGAGGACCAACATATAAATGACTGATTTCTGCTTAGGGTTGATTAAATAAATACTATTTCATTTTTACTTCCTCACACTTCTTTTGTTTGTCCTCATGTTCTTTCCCAGGATGCATAGCTGCCTCTCAAAGGAACGACAACGTCTATGTGTCTGGATTTTCCAATGGTGAGTTCACAGTGTCGGCGTTCCAGCTGTCATCCCGGCTGTGGGAAGTAGAATCTAACAGGAATTCTTCCTCCTCCCTCTGTTCAGCCTGCGGTGATGTGGCGGAGCTCCTGCGAGCATCTAGTGGAGTCATCACCAGTCCCGGTTGGCCCTTTCAGTATCCAGCTAGGCTTAACTGCAGCTGGAATATCAGAGCAAGACCTGGAGACTCCGTCACTATCAGGTAACACTCCACCTGATTCCTGGTTAATGGAACCACAAATAAATGTGGAACGCTCATAAAATGTTTCTGTTGTTCTCTCAGATAAAATCAGTTTCCCACAATAAATCAAAGTGTTTTCTTTTATGTTGCTGCAGTTTCCAAGACTTTGACCTTCAGGCATCCCATCACTGCACTTCAGACTGGATGTCTATCAGCAGCTACAGAGGTCTGGACGGTTTGCGGGTTTGTGGTTCCTCCCTTCCATCTCCTTACATCTCCTCCCAGGACCACGTCTGGATCCACTTCCACTCTGATGACGATCTGACGGGGAAAGGTTTCAGGCTGTCCTACATCACCGGTGAGTTCTCCGCCGCAGAGATCTGATGTTTCTGTCCTAACCATCCTTTGATCACCAGGACTGGGAATTCTTGTGGTTGTTGCATAACAGCTGATGCAATGATGTAATTCCGGATTAGAGTCTGATGTAAATCCTCAGATCAATGGCCGAAGAGCTGAGGCTAGGACAAACACAGGACACTTTATGGGTTAAAGTCAAATGATTATTATTGCCTGTGATAATTAATCAGCTCTTTATTCTTGTTGTAGGTAAACCAGAAGCATCCAGCTGTGATGTGGACCAGTTCCACGGACCAGTTCCACTGCTCTAACGGGAAGTGCATCCCAGACTGGTGGCGCTGTAACTCCATGGATGAGTGTGGTGACAACTCGGATGAGGAGCTTTGTGTGGATTCTCCGTTTTCCTTCCAGCCCTGTAATCTAAACCAGTTCCCCTGCTTGTCCCGCTACACCCGGATCTACACCTGCCTGCCACACAGCCTGCGCTGCGATGGGAGCATCGACTGCCAGGTACCGGTCCATCTCAGTCCCACACCAGCCACCGAAACCCATGACAAAAATCTGATTTCATCTGATAGTTGATGCCCTGTTGGTTCTAATAAATGAATGATTTTTAAGGATCTTGGAGATGAGATCGACTGTGACGTTCCAACTTGTGGAGAGTGGTTGAGGAACTTCTACGGTTCTTTCAGCTCTCCCAACTACCCTGATTTTTACCCTCCAGGAAGCAACTGCACCTGGCTGATTGACACTGGAGACCACAGAAAGGTAACATCTGACCTTCTGAGCGTAAAGGGTTAAATGCATCAACATAAATAAACTGGATTATAAGCTAACAGCCAGATATCTCTCCCCTCCTCCCAGGTTATCTTGAGGTTTACAGACTTCAAACTGGACGGGACTGGTTACGGTGACTATGTTAAAGTTTACGACGGTCTGGAAGAGAACCCTCGCCACCTCCTCAGAGTGCTCACGGCGTTTGACTCCAGAGCGCCGGTCGCCGTGGTTTCATCATCTGGTCAGCTTAGAATTCACTTCTATGCTGACAAGATTAATGCTGCCAGAGGCTTCAACGTCACCTATCAGGTGAGTTTGATGGTCTGAAGCTGGATAGGGTTTTCACGGTGTGAAAATTTATCCTCACAGTTATTGTGACCAAAACGGTTTTCGGTATTGTTGCGGTATTTTTTTTAAAGTGTTACATTTTCAGACAACTACATAAACCCTGTATATCAGGAATAATATTGTCCTCAGTTTGTGTCTAAATTTTGCCTAAAATGTGTTATTTTGTAATTATGTTGTTAATTTGTTTACATTTTCCCCCTTTAGTCTTTAAAATACCAATATTTGCCCATAACTTCTTATTTTATGTCTGTTTGATGTCGTCATTTAAAAAATATTAGATCAGATGATACTCAGTACTCAAGTAGTCTTTTAATCAGATACTTTTTTACCTTTACTTGAGTATTTAGTAGTATTTACTTGAGTAATCAATTTCCCTCTAGGATTAATAAAGTATTTTTGAATTGAATTGAATTAATAAACCCTATATCAGAAAAACATTGTCCTCGGTTTGTGTCTGTAATGAAATGAAGGTTATTACATTTTAATTAATGAGCCATAAGGCGTGGGATTCCATAGGAAATATAGAATCCACCTTACGGTTCGAGGGTTATTTAAACCAGAAGATTGGATCTTTTTATTGCAGAGATCATGTAACTGTTACGTATTCACTCAGAGACGACAGAATAGAGAGAGTCAAGTTTAAAAGTTAAGAATTTTATTACTAACAAATTAAACTAGACTGACTTTAAAACTAAATGTATAGTGTAACTAAAATGGATGAGACGGTGAATGGATGATGTGTGCTGTAAATCAGAACCAGCAAATCCGAAGAAGCGATTAGTTCTGACGGGAACTGAAGGTGTTGTTTTGCATTAAGCTTTGGTTAGCTTCAGGAAAAGCATGAGACACCATTTGCCGGTCTACCTTTGTCTTCGGTGGAAGTCCCCTGTAGATCAGGTATATCGAGGTCCAGTGAACCCTCTCTGGAAACCGAGCTGGTAGAAGAAGCCGCGGTTCCGATCAAACCCGTCTTGAGTTACTTCCGGCACATGACACTTTTATTGGCGTCTGGTCAGACCCAAGCCTGGGTCGGTGGATGGAGCTTTTATTCTGAAAGGAGCTGTTGTTGCCGCTGGTTGTTATAGCGAATGGATTTTTCAGCTTGTCGTTGTTTGTTTCGGTTAAAGAGTAAAAGATCGGATTGGCCACTCCGTCACTCACTCTGGAACGCTTTGAACTGGCGTTAGAGCTGACGTGGCGTAGTTTTATACCTCAGATGTTATGGTTTATTGTCTAATGAAAATTACCAAACACCGTCAGAAGCACGCCTCCGTCAGATTCTGATTGGGTCAGTGAAAGGGATGTGTTATGTCCTTTTAACACTACATGAAATGAGTCCTGTTGGAGTCCTTAAAGTCACAGTACTTATTATTTCTCTAGGATCATAATAAAGTTATTAATATTTTGATTTCAGAAATCGGTCACATCTTATTCATTGACTAACACTTTGATGGATTAGCTTTATTAAAATAGAGTTCTTTGATTAATTAAAAGAAAAGAGTTCATGCTTCATTCTTCTGTTGAGCTGAAAATAAGCAGGTTAGAAGGAGTGCATGAGACCTTGAGACTATCTCTCATGCAGACTAGTTCTGAGCAAAGAAGATAAAATAAGAGTCATTTGTTCCGTTACATGTCCTTCCAGTGAGCTTTGCAGATGTGGGAAAATGTCTTCAGGCTGTAATCATTGTTAAATTCATAATTATTCTCGGAGAGAGACCAACTCTTATCTGCCCCTGGGAGCCCCGTAATGCATAGCGTCATTTCAACATGGGGGTGTCCACGACACGGTTTATATGCAGGTAGCGGCGCTGCGGCTGCTTTATATAGCGACTCGTTGCATTCTCCCTCAACCCAAATCCTCGAATCACGCATTTTAGCTAAAACGCTAACGTTAGCTTGCCTTGCGTTGACTGTAGAGTTGTGGGTGATGGTCACGCAGATGTGTCATGAGATTGAAGCGTTGCTGCCTTTCACAGACACTTTTTCTGCACGTGCTGCAAACAGGATAGCCGTCCGTCCGTCTTCTATAAACTCCCTCGGCATTCTTCAAATATCTAAAATATGCCCGTACTTCCCACTTTGTCTTCTTTGAGGGATAATAAATGTCCTCCTGAGCGCTGCCGTCTCCTCCTTTGGCCATTATTTCAGCTTTAGCTTCAAGAAAGTTTTGGTTGTAAACAACAAAGTGCGCATGTGCCGCCGGCAACTTCAGCAGATGATACGGTGGCTGGTAAGGGTCACCGCAGCCACGGTAATCCACCGAGATCATTTTTTTTAAACAATACAGTTATTATTATTGTCAACTTTTTTACTGGGGTTTACCCCTACACCGGTTACCGTGACAACCCTAAAGCTGGAGATGTTCTGTTCAGATTTCATTCACCTAAGACGAGTGTGTTAGTTGGTTCTGTTAAACCCATTTTTGCGGCTGTGTTCCTTAGGTGGACGGGTTCTGCCTGCCCTGGGAGGTTCCCTGTGGAGGGAACTGGGGCTGTTACACGGAGCAGCAGCGGTGCGACGGGTACTGGCACTGTCCCAACGGTCGGGACGAGCTGAACTGTTCCTCCTGTCAGGAGGACGAGTTCCCTTGTTCCAGAAACGGAGCCTGCTACCCTCGATCAGACCGCTGCAACTACCAGAACCGCTGCCCCAATGGTTCTGATGAGAAGAACTGCTTCTTTTGCCAGCCTGGAAACTTCCACTGCAAGGTTTGACACTCTGAGTGTTAGAAAACCAGAAACCAGATCTAAACATTTCCAGTATGATCTTGCTGTGACCACATTGTGTTGCACCAGTAACTCGTACAACGCCGACTGAAATAGAAGATTCAGTTTATTTATACCAACAATCCTAAAAATACCAGTAAAAAAAACCTTTGACCGCTTTATGTCTGCAGAATAACCGCTGCGTGTTTGAGTCGTGGGTTTGCGACGCTCAGGATGACTGCGGCGACGGCAGCGATGAGGAGAGTTGTCCCATCATCGTTCCCACCAGAGTAATAACAGCCGCCGTCATCGGCAGCCTCATCTGTGGCCTCCTATTGGTCATCGCCCTTGGCTGCACCTGCAAGCTCTACTCACTGCGCATGTTTGAACGGCGGTGAGGATCACGGAGACTGACTGTTCTTTTCTTCCCATTGTGGTTCGGTTTTTGTGAGTTTGAAAGGTTCTGTCGTATCGTTTCAGCTCGTTTGAGACTCAGCTTTCCAGAGTGGAGGCGGAGCTGCTTAGGAGGGAGGCCCCGCCTTCTTATGGTCAGCTAATTGCACAAGGACTGATCCCACCGGTTGAGGATTTTCCGGTGTGTTCTGGGAGCCAGGTACAGATAAAGGCCTTTGTAATTAAAAGCAAAAAACAAAAGCAGATCTAGGACCAGATGTGTGACATATTTCATGGTCTCTGTCCTCAGGCATCAGTTCTGGAGAACCTTCGCCTGGCAGTTCGGTCACAACTTGGCTTCACCTCCCTCCGACTCCCCTCCTCTGGTCATCATAGCAACCTGTGGCGCAGACTCTTCACCTTTTCACGATCTCGCCGCTCGGGCTCTTTGGCCCTTGTTTCTGCTGACTTGGAGGACAGCTCTGGTACCGGGAGCACTGGGAGTTCTGGCTCAGATCTATTGTCTCCAGACTCTGATGACACGGACACAGAAGGTGAGCGAGGGAGGGAGCGAGGTGTGGGTGCAGTGGGTGGGCCTGTTGCCCCCCTCCCTCAGAAAACACCGCCCTCCTCTGCCGTAGAAGCTGTTGTATCAGTGGCAGCATCAGCCAACCCCACGCCAAGCCGAGAGCGAGGCCGAGACCGGCCCAGAGAGGTTCCACCCCCCTCCAGCCCTGTCGCCGTGGTGACTTCCAGTGCAGTTCCTGTATGTAACAGTGATGCTTCAGAACTCCTGGCTCCTCCTCCTTCTGTGTTGCAGCGTCTGGCCAAAAACCTTCACCGCTTTGCTAGAAACCTGACCCGAACTAACCAGAACCAGCAGAACCAAACCTGGACCAATCACAGCCCACTTCGCCAGCTGGAGACAGGAAGAAGTGGTGCTGATGCTGTTGAGCGAAGAGTGAGCAGAGAAGAAGAGGAAGATGTAGAGCTTCTCATCCCTGCCTCCGACTCTGATTCGTCCTCCTCTTCATCGCTGATGAGTGACACACAACAGCCTCTACTGGAGCCACACCCCTCCTCCACCACGGGCCTCGCCCCCCATCATCACCGTGGGAGCAGTGGTCGAGGAGGGCGCGATGGTACTTGTGAACACTGTGGGATGGTCCACACCGCTCAGATCCCTGACGCCTGCCTCGAGGCCATCGGCAAGACGGAGAGCAGCGATGATGAGCTGCTACTGCTCTGCTAACAGGCTAGCCCGCCAGCTAACATGCTGCCACATGCGTCACTTTTCTCATTTAGCTGATCACCATCATAACTGATCCACTAACAACTCTACCAAACAGGTTAACAAACACACCTACTGTTGGCTTACCCACTCATTTACTTCTTTAGTCTGGATTTAAATTTTCCTCACTGGCTAAACCTTAAGCCAACATGCTAACTGACATTATTTATAACAAACTAGTTAATGCTACAAATACTAGCTTGACCTAGCATCTCACATAGCTATGGACTTTCCTAACACCCCCACATTGGCCTAGCTAACTTACGTCAGGCTTGTGTTAGCATGCTAGCTGGATTAAAGGTTAGTTCTCAGTGATGTTGAGGACAGAAGAACCAGAGACTGGGGTGTGACGTCACCGATTTCTGTTGGTACGACCACGATAACCTTTTCTTGTTTACCTGGTCCGTCTGTTTACCCTCCTCCGCCGTGCGGGTTGGCGTTCTGATCATCGGTACGACTTTAGACAGATTCCTGACAGAACAGACTGGTGTTTCCATCGTGGATGAGAACATGACATTTTTATTAGGAGCCGTCTGACCCGTGGATGTGTCGGAAGGAGCTCCTGGTCAGGTGGAAAATTCTTAAAAGAGCCCTCCATTTTTAAGGCTGCTGGTTGAGTGTTGATTGGAAAAAGAGAGAATGACGAGGATCATGTGACCTGTTTTTAATGTTGTTATTATTATTATTATTAGGTTGCCAGCAAGGCTTTTTGAAGTCGAAACATCCGTGTCTGAAAATTTTATGGTCTCTATATTCAGCTGTTGCAGAATTTCGTGTAACTTCTTCCTTCCTCAGATCATTTTAACCATCCAGTGTTTCAAATATTTTATTTATCTTTAAGATAAAAGTCACCAAATTTATCACCTTTCCCAAGTTAACGCGCAGCGTTACACCTTTTATCAGTGACAAATGCAAAGCACAACAAAAACGTTTATTTAGAACAAAATTGTCGGTACTTTGAATTGATCCTACACTGAACCATGTTTTTATGGCTGGTACTGGCAACATCCCCAGGTCACATGACCTTTGTCATGCTGTTGGAGCAGTTTCCGTTTTTCTAAGTAATTGAGAAATTTTTTTTTTTTTTTTTACTGTTGAGTGGCCTGCATTACCATTTCTACTTGTTGATGTAAGATGAGATTCCAGATGATGAAAGGTGTCATGATTGAAGTCTGTGAAAGGTCGTGTACGTATTATAATCAGGACCAAAAGTCGATGGGCAGTATTAGATACAGTTGGAATATAAACACCTTATTCTTATTTTGTTGGTCCTTCTTTTCCTTCCCAGACTGAAGCCATTCAGATTTCTGTGTTTCTGATCTTTGTTACTGTTTTCGGTACTCCGATGACCTTGTGTGAGTGTGTATATTTATTATTATTATTATTAATATTACTATGGTTATTGTTAATTTGCTGTTGTGTAGTTGTTTTTCTGACCTGCATGATTC